ACGTTTCTTGAATACGGCCGCGTAAGACAGCTGCTTGTGCAGGCAGGAACATTTCAATAAATATATAGAGAAATAGAGGAAAGTGATAGATTTCAACAAGACGAAATAGCTATCGTGGAAAAAGAAAAGAAAAATGTCTCTGCGTATACGTTGGGAACCTCGTATCCTTCTGTTACAAACATCATAACACGGCTTCTATAATCAGTGTCATCAACAATATTACTATCATTATTCCCTTACCCTTGAATATTCCCTTACCCTAAAAATATTACCATCACTATATAGCAAGACAAAATGCCAACGAATTATACTATCATTATTCCCTTACCCTTGATTACAGCTACGAATATTACCATCACTATATAGCAGACAAAAACCAACGAATCATACTATCATTATTCCTTACCTTGATATTCCATCCCTGATCACTATATATGCAAGGCAAAATACCAACGAATTATACTATCATTATTCACCCTTGAATATTCCCTTAACCCTATAAAACATTACTAGGCCCTTAAGACCATCACTACATAGCAAGACAAAATACCAACGAATTATACACACACAAAGGCAAGAGAACTTACGAGAAGCGGGAGTACGGGATGGCCATGACCAGGACGTGGGCCCCGCGGAACGTGAACCGGAACACGCCCTCGAAGTAGCCGGTCGCCGCGGGAAGGTCCAGCCCGAAGCACTGGGGACAGACGTGGGCGTTAACAAGGCAGACAGGAGGAGGGGGGAAGGGCGTCGCTGGGTGTGGTTGAGTTGCGGTTATTTGGTTGAAAAGGATAGGTAGGAATAGGTAGATAGACAGACAGATAGGCAGATAGATAGATAGATAAAGAGATATAGAGATAGACAGATAGATAAATTGAAATATAGAAAGATAGGAAATCATTAATTCTTGACTCCCGCGTTTTTTTTCTTTCTGGTTCGTCAAATTCATTTCCGTAATCAGGTGTATTATTTGCTCTTGACTTCTTAAAAGCATTGGTTCCAGACCAAGTAGCGCGGCGCCAGGATTCCAGTCAACGAATCTGAAGACATTATTCGGGTGAATTTTCCCGCAGCATTAATTTGTGAAACATACGAAGATGTAGTCTGCTGTAAGGAAAGGAAGAGTGGAGTTGAATAAAGAGAGGGGAGAGGTACGTAGAGAGAAGGAAGCCTCGGAAAGGACTGTATGAGAAGTTTACTCCACAATAGCTGTGTCTGCAGTTGCTTCCCCAAACACGCTCACTTTTGCGCAAGCCTGGGTTTCTGCAAGCATTTTCGGGGACTGGCTGGATCAGCGCAGGCGTCGCCAAAATGAGCCACGTCGCCCGGTTTGTGCTGGAAGTGCACGCAGTTCGTCTGGATGTGAATGGAGCGCTCAAAAAAAAAAAAAAAAAAAAAAAAAAAAAAAAAAAAAAAAAAAAAATGGAAACCGTTACTTTAAAGCTCATCTAGAAAATATTCATCATATTTTTCTCAGTGGAAGAGCAAAGTAGCTTTACTGCCGAGGCTATTGTCTGTACTACGCCCAGTCTCAGAAAAGGAAAAACCCTAGACTCTGTACTCGCATTATTCTTTAAAAAATGGTGGTGTAAAGCAATGGTTATTCCATATATAATTCCACACGTGTTTAACATATATGCATGAGGTGTCAACTGACTATCGGAGCATTCCAGAATCGTGGCGAGAAGCTAGTTCTTGATTTCTTAACTGGATGCACTAGAGTACGGTCTGATGTGGTAAAACTTTTTTCCTCCAATGTGCCCGGACCAATATCTCTGCTATGATTATATACCCTGAAATAATTTTGCTCACAGTTTTCCTGATCTATTTGTTCATGTTGCAGCTGCTGTCCAAAAAATCAGTTTGCTCACAGTTTTCCTGATCTATTACATTTTAATTTCCTTTCTCTTCAGTTTGTATTTAAAAAATCAGAATGTTCTATCATCAGCTGCTTGCTGTCCAAAATTACAATTTGTACATTTGTGCAGTGTATTCAAATATATTATAACAGTGATTCTTTCTTTGTGTTATCTTCCCTAGATTGTATAGCAAAATTTGCTTAGCTTCTTTGTGGTTAGTATGTATTGAGCACAATCAAATTTGGTAATAAAAATAAATAGCTTGAATAATAACAGCAGTATCAGTAATGGTAATGACAATAATGACAAAACAGTGATAATGACGAGAACAATGAGTTACAGTGATAGTTGTGCTATTGTTATCATTGTTTTCTCTATTGTCATTATCATTATTATGTCGTCTTATTACCATCATTATTATGTCGTCTTATTACCATCATTATTATTTCATATAGTTAGTTTAGCTGATGTCAATACTGCTGATGATAGTGATAATGGTGGAATTATAGTAATAACATTAGAGTCAATAACAGACTGGAAACCTTACATGCGCAGGTAAGTTATTTTCAAATGTCGTAATTTGCGCAGTTCGAGTTTCAGCTCGTCCTAAAATGCGTTGTGCACGACTACTGTTTTGCATTATTGATTATATTATTCGTCGTTTCTACGCTATTAAAATGGGTTGTCAATGACGACACAACTTAGCATGGTTTAGTTTAATTGATAATTCCTCGATCGGGCCAATCCACGCTGCACGGGAACGGGCGCTTAGACTACTGTGCAGCCAACCACTCAGAGAGAACTTCGCTGAGGAACCAGAAAAACGCGCCACAGTTGCCAGTCTGGAACCATTATCGTGATTTCCATGATCATTATGATTCTCATACTTTTTTTTTATTTGTTGTGATTATACTTTTTTTTTTTTTTTATCACGGTTCTTTTCTATTATTTGGATCATTTGATGGCGTGCACGTTAAGAGGTTCAGACCAATTCCCATAAATTTCGGTTACCAATGTTTTGTTAATCTTAGTTTCCATCTATCTGTAGCACGAACACTGACATGCTCACATTAACGCACTCTACCTCATGCATATACGTGGACATATCGATGCTTAAGCTGAAGATAAAAGTCTGGAATTGTCAAAACATTTGGTAACTGGCCTGAGATCACCAATGGACGCGTATACCTTTTTTATGCTGCGATTACTACTTCTACTTCTAGAACTATTATTATTTCAGAGAGAAGTGGTCGCTGTTTTGCTTAAGCCATGTCCTTACTTTCCTTTTTGTTTTGAGGAGTTGTTTCCCGCCTTTGGGTTGCCATTGCATAATTTTCTAATATTTTCCTCAGTTATCAACAAGGCGAAATATGAGATGGTATAATATTCAAGGGATAATGCCTAATCTCCATGATACGATAGCATGCATTTTGCTTATTGATTCATGAATACCCAAGGTGTAAAATACAGGTTGCTGAAGGTTAGTGTCCTTTGCATTAGATTGCAAAAAAGGTTCAGTAAAAATCGTAGTTTTTCGGTGCAAGTGACACATTAACGCTGCACTCAACTCTAAGCACTCCCACCATGCACTTTAATTTTTCACTCAGTTTGTATTAAATTCATTAAATAAATTTCCTCAGAATTCTTTTCATTGAAAACTTAGTAAAAGATTCTATACTATAATTCTATATACATATTATAATGGTTGAGTATCGCATCAGCCAACACTTTTTTTTAAATAAAGAGCGTGAGAGAGCTTTTATAGAGGTCTGGTTGGTCACGTACCTTCATAACGTGGTGGAAGGTGAAGTCGTCGTCGTAATTCTCCATCTTGATATATGCAACAACTGAAGATCCATTCTGAAGAAGACAAGAAAGAGGTGAGAAACACGCTGGCCGCCCTCCGCCTCAACGGGGACACCGCCAAGGTCTATATGAGTACTTATATAGACCTTGGACACCCTCCTCATCTCCCTCTCTCCTTCTCACCTTCTCACTTTCTCTCCTTTACTCTTCTACGTAACTCTTGTCCACATCAGTAACTCTTATCTTCCCTTCGAAACTCTTATACTCCCATCATTTTTATCCTTCTCCGCAACCCCTCCTCCTCCCCAACTCTTATCCCCCCTCCGTAATGCTTTATCCATCCTTCGTAACTCTCATTTCTATGCCTATTCCTCTTCCTTTCCGACACGACGCTGACCGCCTTGCCACTCGACCCGCGGCGGGCGAGCCATCCTCACGCCACAGACCGTCCTATCGTCCGATGAGAGAGAGAGAGAGAGAGAGAGAGAGAGAGAGAGAGAGAGAGAGAGAGAGAGAGAGAGAGAGAGAGAGAGAGAGAGAGAGAGAGAGAGAGAGAGAGAGAGAGAGAGAGAGAGAGAGAGAGAGAGAGAGAGAGAGAGAGAGAGAGAGAGAGAGAGAGAGGAGAGAGAGAGAGAGAGAGAGAGAGAGAGAAGAGAGAGAGGAGAGAGAGAGAGAGAGAGAGAGAAAGAGAGAGAGAGAGAAGAGAGAGAGAGAGAGAGAGAGAGAGAAGAGAGAGAAGAGAGAGAGAGAGGAGAGAGAGAGAGAGAGAGACGAGAAGGAGAGAGGAGAGAGGAGAGAGAGAGCGTGAAAGGGACGCGGTGAGCTGTGCCTATGATGAAACTGTTACATTATAGTACATAATGTTCACAAGCCTTGGAGATTCATATCATGCAGCTGTTTTCCAATGGTTTCACTGTCGCTCTAACCATGTCCCGTTTCCGATGTTCATGATCTCCCAAGGTCATACCTTCGAAGATAGAGGCAACGCCGACGAAGGCAAATGAGGAGAGTGAGGTGCTTCGGTTAGCTCGACCTCCACCGACGGTTTTAAGCAGAGCAGAAGATCACATGTTACGGCTTACAGAGGTGCCATTCGCAATACAGGAAAGGGTGTTGAGTTACATCAACCCCCCCCCCTTGTTCGTATCCTAGGGTGTCTTTTTATTCCATTTTCCAGAGTTATCTAAAGCATTAGATTTTCATTTCATCCTCTGTTCGTATACCAAAGAAAAACTTTACTATATTATTTTATATGTATCAATGTAATACAAAAAGAAAAAATGGGTGGAATGCTAAGCATCTTCAAATTTCTTGAAAGGTTGACATGAGGAGCTGGATCCGTAGTTGCAAGTAGATCATATTGCTTCGTGTCAGTTGTTACAGTTTTTAATGATAATCATAAGAATAGTTATAATGACTGTGAACATCATCATCATTATCATTAATATATATTCTAAATATTACTGTCAATGTATATTTGTTATGTGTTTTTCATTATATTTATTAGTAACAACATTTTTGAAAGATAGAGTAATACAGTGGCGTATTGATATAGATATATAGCAACCCTCTTAACCGGGACTCGAACCCCTGGCGCTCCAGGTGTGCTCTGGAAGACAGGTGCCAAACCACTCGACCCACTAAAAGGAGCGTGCAGCTAGGATCGGAGTTGCTTCAGAGACATTACCTATCTACTCATACTATAATGATAGCGAGGTTTTTCACACGTGGGCACTCGGTGGAAAATTTGATTAGGAAATTGTAGTCTTAAGTCAGATGTGCTGAGGCGAGAGATTTATGGATGTGATAATGCAATTGCTATCAATACTCGCTATAATGAGTATGAATAGATAGGTATGTCTATGGAGCTAGTTTGATTAGTTCGATCCTCGCTGGCCACGCTTTCAGTGGGAGGTTTAGTAGGGTTGGTTTAGTGCTGGTGACTCTGGGTCATACCTGGAACGTCCGGGGTTCGAGTCCTGGTCAGAGAAGTTTGTTGTTTATTTAACAGTATTGTCATGATTATTAATTATTATCATTAATAACTTCCCTTTCAATATCACTGCTGTAGAAAGGATTTTGAGACAATATACGGACCGAACCTCTCCTGACAGTGACCAAAGTATAAATGTGTTTTACAAAAGTGGTTAATGGCATTCATTGTCAATATCTGCATTGTAAATGATCAGGCAATATATATACTATCACCACACTAAGCATCTGAAAAATGTGCCTTGTGTATTGCATTTTGGACGCAATAAAGGTAAATGTCTTGAGGTCACAAAACAACACTTGTCTCATAGGTGTTACAATATCCTCTTTGACACATATGCTGTTTGCAATTCATTGCGTTTGTCTGATTCTGTTACTGCCCTTCTTAAAGGCATTCTTGGCAACATTATTGGCATTACACAACATGGTGTTACCAGTTGCTTAGAGAGCCTACATGGGACTTGGCTGTTAACCGTTCTTGTTTTATGACTGTGCAAGGGAGTAGATCTCGGCACTATACTGGGGTTCTGCATACGGAAAGTCGGCGAGGGAAGGAGGAACGAAGGGAAGGAAAAGGAGCAGAGGCGAAGAGGGCATGTGGAGGAAAGAAAGAAGGAAGCGATGAAAAAGGGACGATCAGGATTAGGGAGGGAAGCTTAATAGTGAAGGAGAGAAAGAAAGGTTAATGGAGAGAGAAAGATAAGTCAATGGACAAAGAAAGAGAGACCGTCACCTCCTTCGGTGGTTATCGCGACAGTTTGGAGACGTCGACAAGGGGAAAGAACATTAGTCTGATGGCTGCACCAACTCCCCTCCCCATAGTCTGATGGCTGCAGCAACTCCCCTCCCCATAGTCTGATGGCTGCAGCAACTCCCCTCCCCGAGTCTGATGGCTGCAGCAACTCCCCTCCCCATAGTCTGATGGCTGCAGCAACTCCCCTCCCCATAGTCTGATGGCTGCAAGTCAAATGGCCCCTAAAGCCAGTCCCTGACTGCAGCAACTCCCCTCATAGTCTGATGGCTGCAGCAACTAGTCTGATTGCATCTCCCCTGATGGCTGCAGTCTGTCTGATGGCTGCAGCAATCCCCTCCCATAGTCTGATGCTGCATCCCCTCCCCATAGTCTTGTCTGATGCTGCAGCAACTCCCCTCCCATAGTCTGATGGCTGCAGCAACTCCCCTCCCCATAGTCTGATGGCTGGCAGCAACTCCCTCCCCGCTCCAGCACTCCCCTCCCCATAGTCTGATGCTGCTGCTGCTGATGGCTGCAAATTCCCCTCCCCCATAGTCCCCATAGTCTGATGGCTGCAGCAATTCCCCTCCCCATAGTCTGATGGCTGCAGCAACTCTCCTCCCCATAGTCTGATGGCTGCTGCAACTCCCCTCCCCATAGTCTGATGGCTGCAGCAACTCCCCTCCCCACTGATGGCTGCAGCAACTCCCCTCCCCATAGTCTGATGCTGCTGCAACTCCCCTCCCCATAAGTCTGATGGCTGCAGCAACTCCCCATAGTGATGGCTGCTGCAAAGTCGATGCAGCAACTGTCTGATGGCTGCAGCAACTCCCCTCCTCATAGTCTGATGGCTGCAACAACTCCCCTCCCCATAGTCTGATAGCTGCAGCAACTCCCCTCCCCATAGTCTGATGGCTGCAGCAGCACAAAAATGAAAAACAAAGTGCAAGGCTTACCATGTGGTCAGGAAAGAAGAGTGGATCCCTGCAGTCGATGGTCCGGTTCCCAAGTGGTTCTGCAGCGGCGATGGCCCAGTATAGGTCTTGGCCATATTTATAGTGCAGTAACCTAGAGGAAACAATATTTTTGCTTGTGTTAAAATGCAAGAATGTAATAAGCATAAATTCAATAAGACATGATCTTCAAATGTATGATGTCATATTCTTCAGCTTCCATATTATATCTAGCACGGCGCGAATGGGTTAACACGACACTAAGTAACTTGGCCTCAGAGGGCAGTCGAGTGTCAGCTGACACGCTGCTTCGGCCAAAGGACGGGAAGCACCAGCGCGGGGCCGAGGTCAGGCCGCTCGCCGGGCTCGGGGTCAGGTTACTGCAGCCTCTGGGCATATATACATATGCATATATACATAAATAATATATATATATATATATATATATATATATATATATATATATATATTATATATATATATATATATATATATATATATATATGCGTGTATGTCAGATATCGGGAATCACTGGCCCACATGACGGACAAGATCCGCCTAAAATCTGTGTCCCAGTCATCTTGCCACAATTTTTGAGACGAGTGAAAAACGCGTTTTTTTTCGGGGAGGGGGGGGGGGGGGGGGCATGGAATGACCTAGAAGAAACCATTCCAACTTCACTATGCTTTGTTACAACCATTTCCATGCATGACACGGGCTCTGACTGAGGGTTTCTCCATCCAATTACTGTTGATGCATTTTATAGCAATGAAGAAAATGGAATCTGGTTGTGCACCAAGTCTCCTAACTATCGTGGCGCCTGGCAGTCTGGGCGTCGTATGTGCAATGCCCTCTGGTGACTGGAACGGCAGGTGTTGACCGGCCACGGACACTCCACGAGCGATGTCCGTCAAAGCCAAAATTAAAGGACATCTTAAAATAATTTCTAAGGACTGTCCATCACTGGAAGAGAAATTCGACCTGACTATTTGATGTGATCTTTTGGAAGGGACATTTCCTCGCCTCTGGAGATCTCTGTGAGGCGCACTATCTAAGCGCTCCTGGTTCAGCGCAAGGTCTATATAAGTACTTATATAGACCTTGGTTCGGCGCAGAACCTCTTTTATGGTGAGCGAATAACGATTCAATTGAACAAATTACTTGAAGGGTGCGCACTGGTTCAGCAAAGAGTTCAAGGTAGCCTCGCCACCTTCCTGACCTTGATACATTCACAAGCCTGACGTCTTTCTCCAGAAGGCAAGCCGTCCTCGGGGCCGGTCCAGGGGCGCCCTCTCCTGCGGCTCTCGGCGGGGCCGGCGCCATGGGGCACGCTCGCGGCACGTCGGGCACCACGCAGCCTCTTCGTCTGCGTCTGCTCCACCAGGATAACCACGTTTCGAGATAGTCCTGCAGTAAATGTATATATATATATATATATATATATATATATATATATATATATATATATATATATATATATATATACTGCTTCTTCCTCTTTTCCTCATGAGCTCATGAAATGAATTGCGGGATTTTGCAGGAATAGCCGAAACAGGCTCAAGGGATGAAATGGAAGGAAGGTTATTCAAGAAATCTATCTACTGATCTATCAAGGGAACCGGAAGCGAAACGTTGATGTACCTGAAATGATCCAAAGAATAATACTTGTCGAATATGTGTGCAATTTTACCATAGGTAGTGCAATGCAGATACAGTACAAGCCTATACGCCAAAGCAAGGACTGAGTGAAAAGGAAAAGGAGGACTTTAAGAGTGACTTTCAAGATACAATAGATAGATCGCCAACAAGTAAAAACTGTATTATGATTGGAGACACCCACGCACATATAGGGGAAAAAAATACAAGGTTATGAGGAAGTAACCGGCTGCTTCAGTGTTCCGAAATCATAATGCTAAAGAATGTATCACTGTTTTTTTTTACAAGGGAATGTCTCCAATGACCATCTTTTTTTTCACCACCTGGAGAGCCACAGATGGGCGCGGCGATGGGACAAACAAGGAAACATACTCTCACAGATCTAGGAAAGACCTGGTTCTAGCCAACAGAAGAGCTTAATTCATGGTATCAAAGCCATACCAGCCATCTCTTGGCCGCGTAGTAGTGGCAAAGGTCAATATAACGAACCGACCTTCAAAAAGATATCTTAAAACATGCACAGCTGCAGAGAAGCTGAAGGCCACCGCATTCGAAACTTAACGACAGCAGATTAGAGAATTGGAAATAGGAAACTTGCCTCTACAGGAACAGAGGAACCAAATTAAAAGCAAATTAGAGGAAACAGCTAAGGAAGTTGTTGGCATTAATTATGTAGGAGCTAACAGAAGGAAAAGGCAAGAGTCACACTGAACACTTGCCATAAAGGATAAAAACTTACGTTATACAGATATTGATAACAGATGAAAAGAATACTTAATATTATATATATATATATATATATATATATATATATATATATATATATATATATATATATATATATATATATATATATATATATATATATATATATATATATATATATATATATATATATATATATATATATATATATATATATATATATATATATATATATATATATATATATATATGTATATATATATATATATATATATATATATATATATATATATATATATATATATATGTGTGTGTGTGTGTGTGTGTGTGTGTGTGTGTGTGTGTGTGTGTGTGTGTGTGTGTATATATATATATATATATATATATATATATATATATATATGCCACACATATATGTATATATATGTAAATATACATTCATACACACATATATATACAGAAGATATTGATAACAGATGAAAAGAATACTACAGTACATATATATTGTCATATTATTTTGGATAAAGGTATGTGCACATTCTTCAGAATCTATCCTTATTGTAACGTTCTCTTCACCGTCAGGAAAGCAATTTTATCCCATGTACTCACAAGAGGCGTCTTAATGTCCTTAGTCTGAAGTGTCCTCTCGAATACGACGAAGTCCTTCAGGATCTCCTCCACGAGGCTCCTCCTTACGAGAGATCCTTTCCCCAGAAACTGGTCCACGCGGTAGACTCTCGTTGCATTCCCCGAGGTCGCGACGGAGGCCAAGGGACTGCGGGCCGAGACGCAGTACAGAGTTGCGTCTTCCTGTAAAATCTCGATCGTCTGGCTGAAGTAACTGAGGATGTGTAATGTTCCTGTTAGGTGTCTATAGGCTACATCTTTCCCTTAACCCCCTTCCTTCTAGCATATATATATATATATATATATATATTGCATATTCATAAAATGTAGATCAGTGGGTGAAACCGATAGTGTAATGTAATATTCAAAATGGTAGAGTGGACAGATGACCTCATGACTTGAATGCTGTTTAATGTAACTTTGAATAGTATAATTGTCCATATTGTTTTCTTTGCTTATACGAGTTATACTTACCTAACAAAATCCGGCGAAAGTGTATATCCAGCTGCCAGTAGAAACACGTGCTGAGTTGAGGGGAAGGACTCGAGCACGAACGCGAGGGCTTCCTTCAGGCCACTACACTTACCACACGTCGCAGCGTCTTCGTCTCTCTTCCCAGCCGCCCGTAACTCGTCGCCCGTAACTTTCTTTCGAGAGTTATAAACGCCTGACGCCTGAGGAAGTTCGCGCTGGTCGTTCAGGACTGCCTTGCGGTAATTCGGACTATAGGGATTCTCCATAAAAGGAACCGCACGATAGTTGTACATGTCCTGCGAGAGAGGTCGGGTGGTCGTGGTCTCCGTAAAGTTCCCTGTAGTATGTAAGAACTTATTTTCCAGGCTGATGGCGTCCTTCACGCACACAGCATTTGCGTGGGGAATTCCAAAGAGGTGCTTAACGCTTTGCAAAATGGAACTGCTGCTGATGCCAGGGTGGAAAAGGCCGGACGACGACCTGGTGGCGTGGAGCGTGACTGGGTACTCCCGAAGTAAGCTCAGGATTTCTTCACTTGGATCGCGTACTGAGACAACGAGGGGCATGCGGCTGCCAGATGTCACGTCCAGTACGCTCTCAATCGACCTAAATGGAAAGAAAAAGAATCCAGTAATCTGTTACATTGAATAGTTTTTTTTTCTTTATTATTAGCATGCAACAAAAAAGAACAATTAAAACGCAGCATCTTTAAAAAGAAACGTTTTAGGCTGACGAAATAACGGCTAATAAGCTGTCTTAACCAGGGGTTTCTAACTCTGTGACTCTAACAACTCTAAATCCTTCGAGGCCGATCAGATATGCCATTATTTGAAAAGTGCGCGAATCTTCGTCATTAACCCGTGTGACTGCGCAGCGATTTCTACAGTAGACAACCTGAGCGCAGAGGAAGGCATGACCTAGTGGTTCAGTGTCGCCGCGGCCTCCCAGTTCCCCCAGTTCTCTCTCTCTCTCTATCTCTTTTTCCTGTTTTTTTCTTTACTCCTACCCAGAAACGGAGAAAGTGGAAAAATTGCATCTTATCTCTATCCTTTTATTACTGAATGGTCTACGAACCTAATAAAATATCACCGGCCCAGTTTAAGGTCATCAGGGCCCATAGGTTCAGAACCAACGATGTAATGTAATAGAAAATGGATTGAATACCCATATATATGTATGTACTGCACACTCCATATCCAAATTTTGGCTCATTTTACAAAATAATTTCTGGTTTATAACAAGGTTAGGCAATATTCAGACGACATACATGAAAATAGTTCTTAGCATAAAATACTAGGCTGTTGATAGCTTACTTGTAAAAACGTTTATAGCTAGACTTACCTTCGGATGACTGTGGCATCGTAAGTGTACACCATCATCAGAATAGGTATACCCTTCATCTTGTCGATCTATAAAAATGCAAGAATTTTACACACACACACACACTCACACACGCACGCACGCGCGATTGTGTGTGCGTGTGTGTGTGTGTGTGCATGCATATATATATATATATATATATATATATATATATATATACATATATATATATATACACACATCATCTTGACCAGGCCTTCAGTGTGTCAGGTCATCCGTTGAGTTCAAGATAAATGTTGGTATATATATATATATATATATATATATATATATATATATATATATATATATATATATATATATATATATATATAT